CGCCTTATCCTTATAAATTTGCAACGTGGGATCGTTTTTAACCTCTGCCTCAAAGTCAGTCGGGGTATCCCAGGAAACACGGGTTACACGGGGTACATTGTCTCTTACCTGAGCCTCAGAGTGTGTGGAAGATGAAGCCGTGGTGCGAGCCTGCTGACGGGTGGTCACTGGATATGCCTCATGGCGAGGACTTTGGGGCACAAAAGCGGAAGTCATTTGCCCCAGGTCATTCCCCAAAACAACATCAGCTGGTAACTTGTGCATCAGCCCCACCTCCACCATACCTTCCCCCGCACCCCAATTCAGATGTACCTTGGCAGTTGGTAGCCGGTACATGGCACCCCCTGCTACCCGGACTGCTACCGATCCCCCGGTATGTGCTGATCCTGACACCAAATGCGGGGCAACCAAAGTTAAGGTAGCGCCGGAATCACGTAGCCCCTGTACCTCTTTCCCTTCCAGAGTCACGGTCTGGCAATGTGGTTGTCGGTTGTCAGTAGCATGGATGGACATTACATCGTGCAAAACGCCCAGGGGTTCATCAGCCGACTCAAGCGGCACTCCTGGCAAAGTTGGCTCTGCATGATAATAATGAGCAGCTGCCCGCGGGGCCATATTCTGCCGGAGCTGATTCCAGTTCTTGCGGCTCCGGTTTTGGGTGCACTCCCGGGCCATGTGCCCCCATTGCTTACAGGCATGGCACTGGATGTTGGACCTGCCATTATAACGGGAGTGGGGAGGTTGTCCCACAAGTGCTGGTCTGGATGGTGCTGTCGCTGGGGCAGGAGCAATAACTGGAAACGGTTGCGGGTTGGGTTTTGCATACCCTCGGTTATTATTTTTATGATGCCTCCTAGCATCATAATGTTGGTCGGCCAATCGTGCCGCTTCGGTTAGGGTGTGAGGATTTTGGTCATTCACCCATTCTTGAGCCTCTGGTGCCAGGCCATTACAAAACTGCTCCAGTAGCAACATCTGGCGTAACTCTTCCATGGTGGTAGCTCTGCTGGCTTGTATCCAGCCTTGTGAGGCTTGGTCAAGCTTGTGTGCCCACTCCGCATGTGAGTCTTTGTCCCCTTTTTTCAATTCTCAGAACTTGCGCCGGTATGCCTCTGGGGTAATGGCATACCTTTCTAATAGCGCCTGCTTTACCTTGTCATAATTCTTGCTGTCCTCTCTGGGTACAGCCCGGTAGGCGTCTGCTGCACGCCCAGACAGTTTGCTGCTACCCACATAGCTTGCTCTACATCATGCAAGTCACACAATCTTTCAAAATCTTGCAAGAATCCATCTATTTCGTCTTTATCCTCGCAAAAAGTTTTAAATGCATGATGTGGTATTTTTGGCCTTCCCTGGCCCACAGTTGAAACAGCAGCGGTTTCTGCTTGAGGTGAGAAGGCTTGATTCCTTTGCGCCATCACGTACTCCTGTGCATCCGCCGAAATTATGGTCATAATTTCTGGAGATACTGGAGCGGGCCAAAATGCCAATCTTGTCCTCATTTCTCGTTCAAATGGGGTCTCCTCCATGTTTGCTGGGGGTGTAGCACTACGAGCTCGGTCTCCTTCCATTAGCTCGGCAATAAGTCTTGCTTTAGGCTTATTGCTGGCTATCTTACCCCTGGCTTCCAACAGCTCCTTTAACGTTTGCCGTTTCAATATGGTGTAGTCTGTCCCCATTCACTTCTGCATCTGTATCAATTGCCTTCTGCTTTCCAGTATGTCAATTCCAATTGTATAAACAGCGTTTTTCCTGCTGTACGGTTGGATCCCGCCGCTTGCCACCAATTGTTGCGGAGCTGCAATTTTATAATCCCAGGATCTCTGCTGGTAGAATGCAATAACCAAGTACAAAGCTGGAAGCAGGCAATATTCCCAAATCCTCCCAAGAACCAGACGAAACACAGTCTGAGAGTCAACTGCCACTTTATTCAAAAAGACTGATATTTAAAGCAGGTCACTCAACTGTCACTTTATTAAAAATAACTGATATTTAAAGCAGGTCACTCAACAGGGGTTTCCAAAGATGGGCAGCAGGGGTTTTGGTTGAGGGGACTGGAGGGAGACTACCGTTTCCAGGTCCTCCTCCCAACAGCCCCTGCTGTAACATACAGTAATGAAAACTACGAGGACATAAACCGTTACCTTTCTACTTCAAAATATACAACTTAGTCAGTTTTAATAGCAATGCTAACGAATGGGGAGGATTCGAACAGACATACACAGTACAGCATAAATTAAACATAGCCGGAGACGCCACACTATACCGGCGCGCAGTACACAACAGAAAATAGGCACAACCATTCTATCTTAGGCAGTCCCAAGTGGCTAGGTTTGCCACAACAGGGTTAGTAAATAGCTGTATCCCAGATATACAGGGTTAGTAAATAGCTATATCCCAGATAAACAGGGTTAGTAAAGAGCTATATCCCAGATATACAGGGTTAGTAATGAGCTGAATCCCAGATATACAGGGTTAGTAAAGAGCTGTATCCCAGATATACATGGTTAGTAAATAGCTGTATCCCAGATATACAGGGTTCGTAAATAGCTATATCCCAGATATACAGGGTTAGTAAAAGGCTGTATCCCAGATATACAGGGTTAGTAAATAGCTATATCCCAGATATACAGTGTTAGTAAAGAGCTGTATCCCAGATATACAGGGTTAGTAAAGAGCTGTATCCCAGATATACAGGGTTAGTAAAGAGCTGTATCCCAGATATACAGGGTTAGTAACGAGCTGTATCCCAGATATCCAGGGTTAGTAAATAGCTGTATCCCAGATATACAGGGTTAGTGAATAGCTGTATCCCAGATATACAGGGTTAGTGAATAGCTGTATCCCAGATATACAGGGTTAGTAAGAGGTTGAATGTTATCTCTAAACATTGTGTGGTAGAATACATACAGTTGCCAGAATGTACTTAAAAATTCTTTAAAGAGGAAGTGCAGTTTCAAAAAAATTTTAAGTACCATAAACACTGAGTGCTGAGATAGTCAAACAGTATATGTAAACGTGTAAATCTCAAAAATCAATGAGAAAATTAGTTTGACACCAAATGTGAACTAAAGTGACAACAACTTTAATTTTAAATTTAATGATTTAATTTGTCAAACCCAACTTACCTGGGTTCCACTATAGTGGGGAAAGTACTTTCATTTAATAATATATTTAAAGGAATCATGGTGGTGGGTACGGCATCGTCTGGAATAATGTTTATCACTAGTTTTAAATCATACAGCCAGGAAAGTCCATGATAAAAATTTTATTTACATAAAGAACCAGGTAACACGCTATAATATCATTGTATTCATTTAACCAAATGCCCCCGGTCCATATTATCAAAATTAAATCCTGAAGTATCCAGGGAGATTCAGAGTGCAAACTCCAAACGTTTTCAAGGTTCATCAATTTCGGGATTGTAAAATAAAGCTTCCGAATAATGTTGAATATAACTGAATAGTCCAATCTAAGGGTGGGCATTGGGCATCACATCTTGAACTTAACTTAAATTGCATTAACGTTGTAATACCCATCTGTACATTTGACTACTGAGACATGTTTTGCGGCTCCACTCTGTGTGTAGGCTCCAGCGGAGTGAATGCAAACAGCTCTAAATATGTTGTGAATGCCTGCTTTTTGATAAACATGTGAATTCTATATTTTAAGAGAATTAGAAAAAGATTTTAAAATGGATACCAGATGGAAAAATTATGTGTGTTCATTCAAGTAAATTAGCCAAATTTTACTTTAGTAAATGAGAGTTGGAAGCTTGGTTGAAATTTGGCGATTTTAACAGAATTCTGCTAATTGAGGCCTAATTGACATGCAGTGTTGTGCAGATGGCTAGCGTAGCAATGACAGAGAAAGGAAATAGCACGCAGTGTGTACTTACAGGCCGTACGCAGAGCTTACAGTCAGACTGGTTATCTGCTGCGGAGGTTCACCATCCACCCACACCAGCTGAATGACTAGCTCAGCTTGATACCCCGGGGGCATCCTGACTGGGCGACTTTTCACACTAAACAGAAGAGAAGAGAATAGGAAATAGGTCAATTGGATGTCATACCGTATATACATATTTTTATAAAACTATCAGACTGGGTTTTTGCCCCATGCAGCCCAAAGCAGAAAGTGAGCAAATTGTAGTGTTCCCTTCCCCCCTCAAATACTGCCAACTCTGGATGTCAACACTGTGTACACCAGCAACATACACAATTCCACATTAGAGATGTCGCGAACTGTCCGCCGAACTGTTCGCCGAACTGTTCGCGGCTGTGAGGTTCCGGGTCAAAGTTTACTCAATGATGACGTATAGGGGGCGGACCGGAAATCGGATATGTTCGCCCAACGCGAACACGCTATTGTTCGCCGGCGGAAAGTTCGCGAACAGTTCGGCAGACAGTTCGCGACATCTCTATTCCACATACAATACAGAGTATCAAAGTACATTCTGTTTATTATACGTTACAACAACAGGGGACATCCGTGGTCCAAAATATAGATACCTCGGCCACGATTAGAAACTAACCGTTAGTACACATAATAAGTGTCACACCGCGGGAAATGTCAGCACAAAATGGTGCATCTCATCGTTTTAGCTGAAATAAATACACTGACTGTAGTAATGGTCAGATATGTAACACTCTATAACTGCAAAATAAAATGTCAATGGTTACTGAAATGTAAGAGCTGCCGAAACACAGAGAGACAGAATACACCCTTGAAATATCTTCTCCACCCCCAATCCTCCTCTTGGATCCCCTCTTACAATACAAGAATATTAGAGAGATGGAAACAAAAAGATAATGTAGCTAAATTCCCAACGCATTTGAAGGACAAAAAAAACATATGGTTACTCAAACAAAAAGGAGGTGAGACACCATGCAGACAATGGATTTATCAGTTAGTATAAATTCAATATTTGTTTCTAATATGGTGCCAGTCCATCAAGCACCCCATTAAATAAATGATCTAATAACTAGGATGGAAAAGAAATGTGCAAAGGAGGACATCTCAAGACGAAAAAATCTGCTGTGCTTGAAAGGCATAGTGGCCACTTGCAAATCTGTTCCATAGGGGTGTCACGGAAGAAGGTCAGAGGAGAAGTCATCACTCTTAGTGAGAAGGCATTAACCATAGCAGCAAGCCTAACCGTGGAGTGAACCTAGCTGGACAAAGTCACTGCCAATACTTTTAGAGTCAGTGCTGAGAAATATGAGAGTATGAAAAGTTCTTATGTAAGGTCTATGCTGTCTCACGGTAAAGCTCGAGAACTTGAAACACAATTTAACCTGCAGCAATGCTGGAGATTAATGGATGAGTCATAAGTAAAATATTCAATCCAAAGAAGGCCTTTATTCACTTGATTAATGAATGCTCTTAAAATCAAAACACAGAGGATGGGTTCGTAAAAAAGGAATAGCAAAGGTCTCTCTTTGCCATATGTAGGCTTCAAACTGAAGTAAGTCTTTTTGAGGTGATAAAGTAATAGAAAAAGTATTGAATGAGAACAGCCCAAAAATAGCTTCAAGCAGACAAAAAAAATCATGAAAAGAGAAACATAGAATAACGTCGACAGTTCGGACATTTGCGGTGCTGTCAAAATGAGTCGTTCCATGTATAAAGAATACATGGACAGCAAGAGAGAGTTATCAAAACTATGGGAATAAAGTGAAGACTCCAAGAAAGCCTGCTAGAAAATAGGCCATAGATTGCCCCTCTAGGGTACTTTATTACATAGTGAAATAATAAAGGAAGCGTGCTAAAAGTGACCTTTTAATAAATATGTAATGGCTGGTGAGACAATAGCCTCCAACATAGTTTACCTCAAGTGAATATAACTGTAAGTGCCTCCAGTAACACTAACATCCAGTGTGCCTCCCTAACACTGAGTGTGCCTCCGCTAACATCCAGTGTGTCTCTACTCGCACCGAGTGTGCCTCCACTAACACTGAGTGTGCCTCCACTAACACGGAGTGTGCCTCCACTAACACTGAGTGTGCCTCCACTAACACGGAGTGTGCCTCCACTAACACTGAGTGTGCCTCCACTAACACGGAGTGTGCCTCCACTAACATCCAGTGTGTCTCCACTAACATCCAGTGTGCCTCCACTAACACTGAGTGTGCCTCCGCTAACATCCAGTGTGTCTCCACTAACATCCAGTGTGTCTCTACTCGCACCGAGTGTGCCTCCACTAACACTGAGTGTGCCTCCCTAACACTGAGTGTGCCTCCGCTAACATCCAGTGTGCCTCCGCTAACATCCAGTGTGTCTCTACTCGCACCGAGTGTGCCTCCCTAACACTGAGTGTGCCTCCGCTAACATCCAGTGTGTCTCCACTAACATCCAGTGTGTCTCTACTCGCACCGAGTGTGCCTCCCTAACACTGAGTGTGCCTCCCTAACACTGAGTGTGCCTCCGCTAACATCCAGCGTGCCTCCGCTAACATCCAGTGTGTCTCTACTCGCACCGAGTGTGCCTCCCTAACACTGAGTGTGCCTCCGCTAACATCCAGTGTGTCTCCACTAACATCCAGTGTGCCTCCACTAACACTGAGTGTGCCTCCGCTAACATCCAGTGTGTCTCCACTAACATCCAGTGTGTCTCTACTCGCACCGAGTGTGCCTCCACTAACACTGAGTGTGCCTCCCTAACACTGAGTGTGCCTCCGCTAACATCCAGTGTGCCTCCGCTAACATCCAGTGTGTCTCTACTCGCACCGAGTGTGCCTCCCTAACACTGAGTGTGCCTCCGCTAACATCCAGTGTGTCTCTACTCGCACCGAGTGTGCCTCCACTAACACCGAGTGTGCCTCTACTAACATCCAGTGTGCCTTCACTAACACGGAGTGTGCCTCTACTTACATCCAGTGTGCCTTCACTAACACGGAGTGTGCCTCCACTAACACGGAGTGTGCCTCCGTTAACATCCAGTGTGTCTCTACTCGCACTGAGTGTGCCTCCACTAACACTGAGTGTGCCTCCACTAACACTGAGTGTGCCTCCGCTAACATCCAGTGTGTCTCTACTCGCACAGAGTGTGCCTCCACTAACACTGAGTGTGCCTCCACTAACACTGAGTGTGCCTCCGCTAACATCCAGTGTGTCTCTACTCGCACCGAGTGTGCCTCCACTAACACTGAGTGTGCCTCCACTAACACTGAGTGTGCCTCCACTAACACTGAGTGTGCCTCCGCTAACATCCAGTGTGTCTCTACTCGCACCGAGTGTGCCTCCACTAACACTGAGTGTGCCTCCACTAACATCCAGTGTGCCTCCGCTAACATCCAGTGTGTCTCTACTCGCACCAAGTGTGCCTCCACTAACACTGAGTGTGCCTCCACTAACACTGAGTGTGCCTCCGCTAACATCCAGTGTGTCTCTACTCGCACGGAGTGTGCCTCCACTAACACTGAGTGTGCCTTCACTAACACTGAGTGTGCCTCCGCTAACATCCAGTGTGTCTCTACTCGCACCGAGTGTGCCTCCACTAACACTGAGTGTGCCTCCACTAACACTGAGTGTGCCTCCGCTAACATCCAGTGTGTCTCTACTCGCACCGAGTGTGCCTCCACAAACACCGAGTGTGCCTCTACTAACATCCAGTGTGCCTTCACTAACACGGAGTGTGCCTCCACTAACACGGAGTGTGCCTCCGCTAACATCCAGTGTGTCTCTACTCGCACTGAGTGTGCCTCCACTAACACTGAGTGTGCCTCCACTAACACTGAGTGTGCCTCCACTAACATCCAGTGTGTCTCTACTCGCACCGAGTGTGCCTCCACTAACACTGAGTGTGCCTCCACTAACACTGAGTGTGCCTCCGCTAACATCCAGTGTGTCTCTACTCGCACCGAGTGTGCCTCCACTAACACAGAGGGTGCCTCCGCTAACATCCAGTGTGTCTCCACTAACATCCAGTGTGCCTCCACTAACACTGAGTGTGCCTCCGCTAACATCCAGTGTGTCTCTACTCGCACCGAGTGTGCCTCCACTAACACGGAGTGTGCCTCCACTAACATCCAGTGTGTCTCCACTAACATCCAGTGTGCCTCCCTAACACTGAGTGTGCCTCCGCTAACATCCAGTGTGTCTCTACTCGCACCGAGTGTGCCTCCACTAACACTGAGTGTGCCTCCACTAACACGGAGTGTGCCTCCGCTAACATCCAGTGTGCCTCCACTAACATCCAGTGTGCCTCCACTAACACTGAGTGTGCCTCCGCTAACATCCAGTGTGTCTCTACTCGCACCGAGTGTGCCTCCACTAACACTGTGTGTGCCTCCACTAACACTGAGTGTGCCTCCACTAACACGGAGTGTGCCTTCACTAACACGGAGTGTGCCTCCACTAACATCCAGTGTGCCTCCACTAACACCGAGTGTGCCTCCACTAACACCGAGTGTGCCTCTACTAACATCCAGTGTGCCTCAACTAACACCGAGTGTGCCTCTACTAACATCCAGTGTGCCTCAACTATCACTCAGTGTGCCTTCACTAACATCCAGTGTGCCTCTACTATCACTCAGTGTGCCTTCACTAACATCCAGTGTGCCTCTACTATCACTCAGTGTGCCTTCACTAACATCCAGTGTGCCTCTACTATCACTCAGTGTGCCTTCACTAACATCCAGTGTGCCTCTACTATCACTCAGTGTGCCTTCACTAAAATCCAGTGTGCCTCTACTATCACTCAGTGTGCCTTCACTAACATCCAGTGTGCCTCTACTATCACTCAGTGTGCCTTCACTAACATCCAGTGTGCCTCTACTATCACTCAGTGTGCCTTCACTAACATCCAGTGTGTCTTCACTCACACTGAGTGTGCCTCCACTAACATCCAGTGTGCCTCTACTATCACTGAGTGTGCCTCTACTAACATCTAGTGTGTCTCCACTAACACTGAGTATGCCTCCACTAACACTGAGGGTGCCTCTACTAACATCCAGTGTTCCTTCACTAGCACTAAGTGTGCTTCTATTGTCACCCTACTGTCACCCACTGTGCCTCCACTAACACTGAGTGTGCCTTCACTAACATCCAGTGTGTCTCCACTCACACTGAGTGTGCCTCTATTGTCACCCAGTGTGCCTCCACTCACACTGAGTGTGCCTCCACTAACACTGAGTGTTCCTCTATTGTCACCCAGTGTGCCTCCACTAACACTGAGTGTTCCTCTATTGTCACCCAGTGTGCCTCCACTAACACTGAGCGTGCCTCCACTCACACTGAGTGTGCCTCCACTAACACTGAGTGTTCCTCTATTGTCACCCAGTGTGCCTCCACTAACACTGAGTGTGCCTCCACTAACACTGAGTGTTTCTATTGTCACCCAGTGTGCCTCCACTAACACTGAGTGTACCTCCTCTATCTAAATCCCTCTGCAGCAAAGTAATATCTTGCTCAGTAGTACAATGTGAGCAAGATATTACTTTTCTGCAGAGGGATTTAGATAGACTGGGGGACTGGGCACTCAAATGGCAGATGAAATCTAATGTAGAAAAATGGAAAGTTATGCACTACGGCGTAAAGAATGCAGAAGCAACGTATGCCGTTAATGGAAGCAAATTAGGGATAACAACACACAAGAAAGATTTGGGAATTGTTATAGACAACAAACTAGGCAATGTGCAATGTCAATCAGCAGTGGCCAAGGCCAGTAAGGTTTTGCAATGCATGAAAAAGGGCATTCATTCTCAGGATGAGAATATCATTTAACCTCTTTATAAATCACTGGTAAGACCACATATTGAATATGCTGTGCAAGTTTGGGCACCTGTTCTAAAAAAAGGATATTATGGCACTAGAAAAAGTGCAGAGGCGGGCTACAACATTAATAAAAGGAATGGAGCATTTTTGTAATGAAGAAAGGTTAACAAATTTAAACCTATTTAGTTCAGAAAAACGTTGCCTGAGAGGGGATATGATAACATTATACACATATAATCGGGGGCCAATACAAACCATTGTGTGGAAATCTATTCACAAACCGGACTTTACATAGGACACGAGGTCATGCGTTTAGACTGGAAAAAATAAGATTTTGTCTAAGACAAAGGAAAGGTTTTTTTACTGTAAGAACAATAAGGATGTGGAATTCTCTGCCTGAAGAAGTGGTTTTATCAGAGTACGTACAGATGTTCAAACAGCTACTAGATGCATAATTGCAAAAAACAGAATATTCAAGGATATCATTTTCAACTTTAGGGTAATAGATTATTGATCCAAGGAGAAATCTGACTGCCATTCAGGGGGTCAAGAAGGCATTGTTTTCCTAGCTTGTTGCAAAATTGGAAGCGCTTGAAACTGTGATTTTTTCCCCCTTCTTTTGGATCAACAGCAAAAAACAAATGTGAGGAAGGCTGAACTTGATGGACACATGTTTTCCTTTCAGTCATGTAGCTATGTAACTATGTAACTATGAGGAGAACGAGAAAAAGGTGAAGCAAAGCCTTGGTGATATCGTTTTTATATATTATTACATAGTTGGTATGTAATGTGTGTATATTTTTTAGGTTTCCTCTTTGTTGGACCATGACCAATGTACATGTATATAATTTATTCTTAACATGTTAGAATAGATTTCTGTTGCTGCGCCATGTGCTTGTCATTTTATTCAAAGTACATATAACGTGTGATTAAGAGTTGGTTATCTGCCCTGCTAAAATATTTGTTTGTACATTGTGTATGCAATTTAGTTACTCTGTATTAGAACATGTTTGGGTATAATGTATTTTATAAGTTACTCTGTATTAGAACATTATGAATAATCTATGTATTTTATAAATTACTCTGTATTAGAATATGTTTATGAATAATGTACAGCTTATTGCATTTGTTCTGGTGAGTAGCGTCATTTCCTTCAGGCTTTTTGCTGTAAACACTGTCTTTTGCAGTGTTTACATTACAGCCTAGTGATAACTCCAATGACCACTCCTCAGATGGCTGCTAGAGGTGCTTCCTGGGGCAGTGCTGCACAGTGTGACTGACATTCAGTGTCTCCACCCTCCGCATGCAGACACTGAACTTTCCTCATAGAGATTGATTGATTCAATGTATCTCTGATTGGCCAGGGCTGTGTTTGACTTGTGCTGGCTCTGCCTCCTTGGCAAGCTCAGCCAATCCTAAGGGGCAGCATTGTGATTGGCTCAGACCACCAATTCTGATGATGTCAGCAGGCAGTTTCACAGGCAAACAGGGGCAGAGGTAGCAGCTGCAGACTTGAATTACTATATTTAGGGAGGCAAGAGAGGGCCAGGGGGTCTAGATGGTGGTTTTAACACTTTAGGGTCAGAAATGTAGGTTTGTGTTCCTGACCCTATAGTGTTTCTTTAAAACACAATTCTACACGCACTTTCTGAGCTGATTAAAATATCGGTTTGCAAATAATGCACATATTGCTGAGGTTTGTTTTCCTCTCAAAGATATATGAGTTAGAATTGACTGTGTGTTTTGTTTGGTATGCTCTGATTTGTGTATATCTGAAAATGTACTTGTATATAATATTTTGCTGCAGTAACAGTTACATAGCAATCATACCCCACATTCATGTTTTAGGGAATTAACTTGATATTTACAAGCAATTAAGCTTCGCTCTGTACACAGTTTCTTGTGATTTCAGGCCGTGCGCTGATCCAGTAAATGCCCAAACAACACACGCAGCAAAATCCCTCAAATGCTACAAAATGATTTGTTTTGCAACAAATTGAGGAATGC